TCTGAATACGTATATGAAGCAGCGTATGTGAATGTTGGATATGGCATACTTACCCCATATTATGTAAAATACTTGTATGTATATGGGAAATACCCATACTTATATTGTTTAATTAATTTAATTGAGTCAGAGGTCTGTCTTTCAGGTACGATGTGCAGCAGCTGGTCAGCACAAACAGAAGCACCGAAGAAATTAAAGATCATTACTACCGTTACTACTTAAATGGCAGAATCGGCCAGGTGACGTTGAACGTTTTGCAGTACGAGGCCCCCGTTAAAGACCATACAACGGATATTGATCAAGCAGACGAGAAAGAAGATGCTGTCATCGTTTCGCCGCCGGCCAAAGACAGCGCTTACAAGATCAACCCTGATGATCTTCGCATGTTGGCATATATGCCTCATCGCGACGACTTTGAAATGGTACGCTCTAGGAGTTGAATGTTGGAGGTCGTTGGTTACAGCTCCGTGATGAAGGATATGCGTATTTTAGGAGTACCGAAACGATGCCGAGACAGTCATATCAAATGTTCTGTTTTTCATTAACGACGACCAGTTGGACAGAGGTCAGTCAGAAAAATTATATTTATTGGTAAATTTTTTAAAGTATCGGCTTGAGCACTGCGCTGTGCTAACAAACATCTTACTTCTTCAAAGCCTAACTTACCGTGTATTGGTTCCATCCCATTGTTCCTAGCTGCATATAGGGGACATTCAAGCAAGCCGTGGCTCCATACTACGTACAATTCGTCATTTTGTTGCCTAGGGCAACGAATGTTCCTTATATTACAAGCATGATGCAACAACCACATTTGCGATGTTGTACTTGGATATATTTGGCGTGTACTCATAATGCATCGTTCACGACGACCGAAAGCGAATTGCAGGATGGACAACTCACCTGACACAGTTAAGATGTTATGGATCTATGGCATTCTTGAATGCCCTTTCTTCACACTCAACTAGAACCAAGGGGGTCGGTCCGTAGACCATGGAATTTGCTTTAAAAGTAGATACGCGTTTTAATGTAAGAATCATTGCTACAGTTGATTTTGCAAGGTAGCATATTAAACGTCACGTGGTATATGCGTTGTACATTTCCGCGCTATGCCTACATAATATATATTTATCATAATTGCATTTACACCATATTACTGAATTTCCTATTGCTTTTAGCAACAAGGATCTGTTTTAGCAAGCACTGCTCAATGGTAGTTTTAGTATCTCAAGCGATTTATTGCAGTGAAAATTGTTCGTCACACTCGGTATTGTATTACATGAGATTTGACAAGCAAACTGATTTTCATGGATAGCCTAGCTGGATAAGGCGTTTTTTTCATGCAGAAATCACCAGCTGAATTTATATTCAGGCCAAATTCCTGTCTTCCCAAACGTCCTGTTTGTTATGCGTTTTTATGATAATAGGGTCACAGCGGTAGCTTTACACGAAGTGCTGTAGGGCCGCTGATCTGAATATAGCTGGGTGTTGGAGTAACGGAGTAATGTACAAATGGAACCTGTAGTAGGCTGTCACGAACTTATCTTGTCCGAGTGGTGGGTTACGGCTCGGACCTGACGATGACAGTTAAACTTTAAAACGTTGACTAAGCAGCAGGCTGAGACTGAGTAGTGTAAAATCACTACTTGTAGTTTTCTGTAATGTTTTGCAATGTGGTGGATAAAAATGCGATCTTTGTACCAGAAGTTAACCGTTGTTGCTTCCGCTATCTCAGCATAAGGAATGCATTAAGCGAACCTCATAATCATGCTTGACAAGCGCAGTGGGTGACAGAAGGATGACAGAAGGCATTAAGTCTGCAAGATGCTTTAATTGAGCAGCGTATTGGAACGAGCTATGCAACTGATACACAAGTTCAGCAGTGAAACGCCACGTGAATATGTGCATAATTTGCAGTCTGCAATGTTTTTTAAATGCGGTCTGCATATCTGAGCTTCAGGTCGCAGAAAGTTCACCGTTAGTTTTTTTTTACTTTTTTAAACACTATTTAAAGCAGTGCTTCTTGTTTCATTTTAGAGCTGAAGCTGACTTTGATAGACATGTACATAAGGAATCTCATAGAAAGACGTCGTCGCAAGAGGCTCTCGCGTGATTACAACTTAGTGTACAATTTTTTCAAGGAAGAGAAGCCCCAGGGTGGCAGTACTGTTTACCTTTATCCTCCGTCAGCGATGCGTCTGATGAAAAGGGAAAAGTATGTTTTCTTTTATTTGCTATTTTGTTTCGATGCTACCCCATTCCATTGTTTTTTTCTTCAGGGATCTCCGAGCAACTTTAAAAAAGTTTGCTCAATTTTTACCATGTGCCAAGTTCGACGAATTGGTGTCTAACATAATAAGTAAGACGTTTCGTCCTGTTTTTGCAAAAGTAAAACTCGTCAGTTTTTTGCAGAGGAAAGAACCTTAAAGCAGAGAATCGAAGAGCTTCAGGAATACAGTCGAAATGGAGTGAAGTCACTGAAGGGTAAGTACAATATGTCGGCTTTAGACATGCACGAATGGGCAAATAATGGGAAATATTGACATTCCTAGATAAATAGATGCCAGAAACGCAGGTGAAGCCCTTTACGCGATAATTTAGTTCGAATTTCAAAAAGTTCTTTACGGTGTGACATCTCTTATCCACTTCATTATGTTCATATTCTCTAACGTTCTTGATCCGTTTTTAGGAAGTGAAGTAATATACATTTAAATGATTCTTTTTGTATTTTCTCTAGATGCGGATAGCACATGATCTGAAACATGTGATGATATGTTAATGGTAATTTAAATCTGTGATGTCATCCAATGAAGGACTTTTGAATCGAATTTGGAACCGCTGCCTGTTGTTTACAATCTTTAGATGTTAAGAATGTAGCCACCGCCATATTCCGTGTGCGCAGAAACCGCATGTTAAGCGGACTTTACCTTAGCTGGTGGATAGCTCGCTCTCAGATGTATATAAACTAGAAAGCATCAGCTGCAATAAGGGGTGAGATGGCACGAATCATTAGGATGCATCACCGTAGTTTTTAATATTCCCTATTTGTGTAGTCCCTTATATAAAAGTCTAATTTATTATATTGCGAAGCGATTGTTGTAGGTAAATTTTAAGCCACCAAATATAAAATGTTTTTCACTACATGGCTTACTCAATTAATGTCATATAGTAGATAGTAAAGTATAGACTTCGACATATACCAATATTCGTTTCGTCACAATTGATGAGTGGCAATGGGATTAATCACAACTGGTCTAGAATGATGTACTTGGAATAAAATCTCGTTGAAATTAATCCCAGAACAATGAATCGTGAAAATATTTTATTTTTCTCTTACTCGTTAGACAGAAGGATAACATAGGCCCCAGAAAGTTAAGTGGGGATTGTGTAGTCAGTGAAAAATGTGAATATATATATGTGAATATGATTGCGAAAGTTCCACAATGAGTGTAAATTTTAGATTATCACTCCTATTTAAAAAAAAGCGTTATTTCCCTCATGTTAATAAAATTATTTTTTTAGGTAAAAGAAAATTCGATCTCTGCACTCCTTTGAAGCGAAAAAGGGTAAGAAAATATAGCCCCTGTTTTTTGAAATAGACTACTTTTAAGAAACTCAAGAGATTACGGTTCTCCAGCGGAGCTCGAAGGTACAACTTTCAAAATTATAAGCGGTCTTTTTTACATTATTCTAAACGTTAAAAAACAGACTGTAGCTTACTCTGTGTTTAAGTAAGTTTCAGTCCTAAATATGGAGGGTAAAAATTATCATGACCAACATCACGTGGTAGCGTCAGAGCAATGACCCATTTCCAAGGGTGATGCTACGCAGCTGCAGTTTCACAGCTGTCGATCACTTCGGAAAATCACGTAATCCTCCTTGCTGCAGATTCGATTCACACTCATGGATTACTCTTTGCTTTTCATATAGACTAGGGTTGCTCAGCTGGTTGGGAGTTGTACTCAGAATTGATCGATTCTGAATTAGGCTTCCCTTGGGTAACTCACCTTATTTCCTTAAGAAATAGATGATTACCACTCAGTGAAAGGGAACATGCCACTACTCGCCATGCCTGCCACATATCTGTAAACATTGCCTTGGAAATACGGCGCCCTGGGATGATAGCATAGAAATAAATCAACCTCGCACCGTAAACCTAATGGAAACAACGAAACTACCTATCGTGAGAGTGCATGGGTGGCAACGTTCCAACGGTTAAAAACATTTCCTTTTCATTTGAAAGCAGATTTTATAGTTGGACTTTAGCACTACCATTGTGGACTCTGGCTTTAGGTTGTTTGCATACTGTTAAGTAAATTATAAGCAATATCGAATTACAGACTTTCACTGAAATATTTTATTGTAGTACCACCACTAAATCTTAAACTTTGCGGTTGCTGTGGGACAAAGGTCATAACCGGACTAAGAATTTGTAATGAACTTTTTCATAGAAGGATTCTGTGGCCATCTAGAATGGTAGGGCATCGCGTGAAGGTGTCATTTATTGATATAGAATGTTAAGAAGGAAGACTAGGGCTTCAAATGCCTTTTCATGCTTCCGAACAGGAGTTAGCCATTACGGAAAAACTTTGAAACCCTTTCCATGAAAGTTTATCATGATACATGACAGCTACAGTAACTAGTCATCTTCCGCTCAAACCGAGGACGATACGATGCAAATCTACAAAATTGGGTAACTTCGTTGCATGGGATTTTCAATGTCGAGTATGAATTTGTCTCTGTATTTGTTGATATCATAGACCAGGCACGTTCAGATCTTCTTGTCCTATTTCAGAGGCTAGAGATGTTATCAAAAACTTCTATGATTTCCTTAAAATTTAAATCAGATGGTGGCTCTACTCTGTACTTCCGTCTAAATGCTGAAATATGACGGTAGCTGGACTTGTATTATGAGCATAGAGTGTAATTGTTGCTAGCTTTCGACGGCACCAAGTGGCAGTTTTGACGTATTTGAATAGGAGTACTGTAGAGATTAAGCGGTTTCCAGTTAATCCAAGTCAAGAAACTACCGAGTCAAGAAACTTCCTATTCCTCAGTTTTATTTATCATAATTTTTACATTTTAAGAGTAAAATAATGGTACTCAGAATATGGCAAAGAAAGCTCTCTTGTTGCAGTGTTCGGTACCATGCAATTACTATAGTCTTGATATTTGCGTTTTTGTTTTGAGCACCCATCTTCTCGGATGAACTTCGTTTGTATCTTAGCATCCTTTTCTGAAATTTATCTTTGAGTATTTGTTTACTTTCTGAGACTAAGAATGTATTGCAGAGCGGTCTGTTCTCTGAACACAGCTTGATGCCAGATAATGACAGTTATCTTCATTCATCTAACTAGATCATCTGCTGCCATCAACTTCTACCATGGGTCATAATGATATAGATTACTGTAAGTACTGCGGTACACAAACACTCTATGTTGTTTGTACAATTGCATGTAATTGGATGTTACATTTTGGACCTTGATTATCCTAATTTTATACCGATGCTTTGAACATGCTCACATTTTTTGTTTAGAGATCTCAACAGGTGGCATCGAATGAGACGTTGGCACAAGAAGTTGTCAGAATGTAATTTTTGAACAGATCGGCATATTTTCTTTTGAAACATGGAAAGGTACATTTTGTACTGTGAACCTTTAGCGTTTGATTTTGTTATTATGATGTCAGTCATGCATAAGTGCAATTTAAATAATAAACGCTGTTTTAGAGAAAGAAGGAAATTGCTATGAAGGTTGAACAGATCATTGCTACTCAAATACCATGTTTAGTGCGTGGCTACTTTTGCATGTGCAAGAATAGGGTAAATTGCCTAACGCTGAATGCCAAACGTTGTAAAGTGAATATTCTTTAGCCCATTTTGATCATCTGAAATTTTGTTTCTGGCCATGTGTTCGTTTATGCAGGTTTATTTTGAGTTTATGATGGCTTATTTTGTTTTTACAAAATTACATAACATTTTATTCTCGTGGTGTATGAAGCTGTCATGCGCGCCATATGCATCAACGGATTTAAAGTAGTACTTCAGAAATCTGACGCTGAAGGATATACAGGAGTTACTGAGATGAAGGACTTCGCTACCGGAAGAGTTGATGCTACTTACATGTATAATTGTTATAATGGGATGGTCAGCAAATTGTAAAAAAGCAAATAACTGAATTTGGATATGGTCGAAATTTATTTCTTAACTGAATTGTGTTTCCCTTCTGCCCTGAGGACACAGCTCTGTTATGACCAATTACAAAGAATCATTCTTAACTGGCCACACTTCTATTTGAAACTATATTATTTTTTATAACTTTGCAGGGAAATAAATAAAGCAGAAATAACGCAATTTCAAATTTTTTTGGTAGATGCAAAAGGAGTCAGAAAAAAATAGTACTGAAATTGGTCACAAAGTACTGCAACCAGAATTTCATTATATCTTCACTTATTAGTCATTTTAACGGCTGATGTAATCAGAAACCGAAACTACAAAAGGCCTCGTTGTAGTCCCTGTACAGAAAGTAATGGAACAGTTAGTAAGAGGTTGGCTTTGAAGTCGAACGGAGGTGCCGAGTTTGATTCCAACAGCGAGGAATCACTGTCCTTATCACGATTTCCGTGGAGCAAAAAATTTATCATACTTTACTTCAGATGGGGGTTACTCGGTCAGTGGAGCGTTGGACTCAGAACTGCAGATGCGTGCTGAAATACGACGGAGCCATGACCTTAAATTAACCTCTACACCTTCTCCCTCTAACATCAATGAGAAGTCAGAGCGATATGCCGGAAATCAAGTTATGGAGGGGCTAAGCGCTTATACTTTCTGTTCGGTGATAACCATATGCATAGTTTTATATTGATATTTATTGGTCTTATGTGATCTTCCTGACTTCATTGTTGATATCTGTCCGTTACTGGATTTTCGTTTCGGTTGTCTCAGAAGCTGTCGTCCAGGTCAGTGAGATATGACGATGAAAAATCCTCATTCCACCTTCTGTACCATCGTTGTCCTCTCAGTTCGGTAACAATTCTGTAACAGCACCAATAAAATACAGTTCGTAAGGGTCGTGACTAATAGCATATCAATTCAGGAGTATAAATTCGACGTACGTTTGTCCTGAATGCAGTCCAGAACTTTGATGATCCCATTTCCACACGACGTCAATACGGATTCTGAATTCGTGGAAAAGCGTAAGCTCATTAGCTGACTGATTTTGAGTGAGAATGGGGCGGTTTATGGCTAGCCTAATAACTATCGTAACAATAACAGAGGCACGTATGCTTCTATGTACTTGTCCCTCGTGCGTGAGCATAACCTTGATCGTTTGTCCAGTGATGTGAGTAGAACAGTTGACTGTTTGAAAAGCGTATAGTGTTTCGAAGTCTAAACCAAGACAGCATACGGTATGCCTTTAGGTGTATTATGTGATGCACGTAAAAGTGCAAAGAAATATCGTTACAAAAGATGATGAACGCCCACTGAAAAGAAGAACTCCTGCATGTCGAAATCTTCTATTACCTCAATGCATCTTCAGAAAAGCTTTCATCGTCTCTTATATACTACTTAATCAATCACAGCATTCACCTACCCGTACTGTCTTCGGCCAGCCAACAGTGGTTGGCAAAGTAAAATAAAAAGTTTCTAATTACGAATTACCCTTCCGTTTGCGCTTGATATCCCTTATGCCTATGCCAGACAATAAAACTATACCACGTGCACACGGAGGTACATGAGTTAAGAGTGCCGAGTCATGGTAATTTTTCAAGATAGACATGCTACTGTCGAAATAACTCGATGCTATCAGAACGAGATTTGTCTTAAAGCTTTGGGTCAGGGTCAGATGGCCAAAACTACAGGTGAACGCTATATTTCGAAGACCGCTTACATTCTACCGACTGCTGTTTGTATGACATGCAGAAGCAAGGCTTAAACTCAGATAGCAAAAAAATGCCTCATGCTTTGGTATCCTTACGCCGAGCAAGTAGCTCTGTAAGAGGGGCGATTCGAAAACCTGGCCCCGGTTTAAAAGGAAATGGAATGTCAGTAACGTAACAAGAGGTGATAAATGACATTCGGAAACGAAGTGAAGGCGCAGCTGCTGTTGCGAACGACCGAGCAGCTATACGCAGAGATCGTGCTGAGACAAGGCGAGCAAAAGCGAAATTAAACGAAGAATTACCACTGAGCTGACAAAGAGGTAGAGTTATGAGTCACGCAGGCAGTTCGACCTGTGTCCGGGCTAAAACTATCGCCTTACCGATAGTTCGGCGACGTCAGCCATCAGCATGACCGCGTCAAAGGTAGGTCAGCACCTTCGGTCGGCGTGGTCGAGCATTCGCCTACTGTTCACTGCCATCCGCCGGTTCGTACTGAGATATCGGTTGCTGCCGATGCTGGCCCTGATTCTGTACACGGTTTCAGGGGGCGTCGTTTTCCTGTTCATTGAACGCTCGAACAAGCCTCTGATCGATACGTCCCCATCTGACATTTCCGTGACCTCGTCGATCATCAGACAGATGTACCAGCACCACCTAACTCGATGGTTGTGGTCATCGTACCTGCGCAACGAAACGGTCCAACGACGAAAACAACTGATTCGCAACGCCTGGAAGTGGTACGACAAGAGGGTTGGTGACCTGAACAAATGTACCCAGGCAACGGCAGTCATACCGTGGGATATATGGTCATCGATTTACTACGCGATGACCCTGTACACTACGATCGGTAAGTGGATTAGGCGTCTGAAACAGTTTAGCAATAATAACCTCCGATCCTGTGCAAACATCACCCTATGTAATTTATTCATAAAGGCTCCATTTGGCACCTCACAATTTTAACATTCAAGCAACTTATTTATCGTTCGATATTTAGTATAGCCATCTAATGTTCGCTATTAAAAATGAAAGAGGAAAACAACTACACAAATCCTACAGGCAGCTGGCTACCTCGAGGTGCAAGAAACTGGTTGACGTTGTTCCGCAATCATAGTGGTTGTTCATTTCCAAATTCCGCAATAATACATCAAAATTTCTCTTGTCAATCTTCTAGATTTACGCGGCGAAGCACCGTCTGCTTGCTTCTAATAGCCTATGGAACTGTTTAAGTTGGAGACATCTCTATGGTATTTTAGTACTTGCAGGGCATGGCGCAAAACAGCACATAACAAAGGTTATTTTTG